GGAAGAGGTGGCGTGGCGCTGGGAGGCGCAGCTTAACCGTGAGGACCTCCGCCTCTCCACGCCGTTTCCGGCCGCGACGGTAGCGGTTGCCGCGCTCCCGACAAGCACATTGTCCACCTGCATTTCCTCCCCACTCGCAGGCAGAGCGAGAAAGCTGTCAGGTGGAAGGCGCGAGGCGGTGGCGTCGACAGTCAGCGTATCGCCTGAAAGGCCGCGCTTCTTGCCTTTGCCGGATGTGTGGAAGGTAGCGGCGTCGGCGGGCAGTGGCTGAGCGCAAGATGGGCGTGAGTAAAACTCGGAAAGCCCATTCTTGGCGGCGGCTTTGCTGAACTGAGATTGTTCAGCACGTGTAAGTGTGGCGGCGAAAACCGCGACCAGATCGGTCGTTACCTACGCAAGGCATCCGCCCTCGTCGGTCTGCATCACTTCGAAGCCAACTGCTTTCGAGTGGATACCCCTGCAATTCCCCTGCAGCAGTTGTAGAATCCCCCCCGCCTGAAACGTCGACGATGTGTTGTGGCGCCACACCATAACCATCCTCCCGCTCCGTTAGCGACGACGTGGTGCTCCCGTGTCGCAATCGTTGCCACGCTTTCGTTTTCTAGCTAATCAAAAACTTTAAATAAACCAAGCCACCTTGTAGCAACGCATCGAATGACTTGTCTGTGTTTGCTCTCGAAAAAATGGAAGCACTCCTTCAATTCTTCTAGTTGCTTTGCGCATCGGGATAATTCTGCAAACACTTTTATTACTATATTTTAGTCATCAACAAGCGTTACTTTTAATGAATTTTTAGCGCAGTTATGAAATAAGTGATCATTACAGTGAGCATATATTATGACTTTACGGTCTTCAAAATTTAATTTTTGAAAAACTGAAATTATTGTCTTCCAAGTTAATACACGCTTTGTCCGTTCCATATGCTGTTACTTCATGGGAGTAATGATTTAACCAAGACTTCACATAAACTTTCCGTAAGGTATTGAATTTTCCAATGAGTCTTCATACATATCCAAAATTTTATGACAAATACCGTTCGTTGGTGAGAAGTATTTCATCGCTACTGGAAATAATTTTCTATTTCCTTTATTTGAAGCATCAGTAGCAATGGAAAAGGGAACTTATTACTTAAATCTTCCTGCACAAGTTCCAGTAAATATGGAAATACAATTTGGGTTTTCCAGCCGTAAATTTAGTGCGTCCTCCTGTCATTTGATTTACGAAATCTGAATCGCTAATTCTTTTTCTAAATACTTTTAAGGAACAATATTGAGCGACGTAAGAAATGTGCCTCATACTACGGGAAACCTCAGTTATTTCGGCAATACTAGCTTTTTCCACACTTTGCGCGGTGCCTTTTTGTGTCAAGAATTCATTCGCTGAGACATGGCTTCAGCACTTTGACACTCCTTGTGCTTCTTTGACAGCGTGGTGCGTTATCGCTTTTAAGCCGACTAGGCTAGAGTGAACGTATTTTTGCACAATTTGCTATAGCGTTTTGTGTAGGCTTCGTTATATTTTTTATTTAACAAAATATTTTTTCCAGTCAGAATTACAGTAGCAAACTCTTCTTACCTTCTTAGGTGTAGTTGTTTTGCTGCTGGTAGAAGGTACTTTCTCGTCTTTCATTTTGACACATACAAACAATGAAACAGAGCGCTACACAATTATATTGTCTTATCCTATTATAAAAACACAAACGAATGTAACTATCCTGCTACGAGAAGGGTCGAGCTATGTTCAGCTTCACAAGTGTCACTGTACAAATAAAACTAAATAAATGATTTCGAAATGCAACAAAACCAAACAACCTGTAAGGCTGTAAATAATAAGCGACTGCCGAGTGCCCACTAAGCACTGACCCTCGCGAGAGTGTGACATGCGTGAGTGGGGGGGGGGGGCTCAGTACTCTGACGACGCCCCCTACTGCAACCATAACTTCTATACAATCGCCCGTTGGGGTGGTTCCCAGATCAGGCTCTTGGGAGCCAATAATATCACAGGGCAATGGGATCTTTTGAGGTGTTGAGCAAATCCAAGAATAAGAACACATAAATCAGTTAAACTGGGTTTAATGATTTCAAATAACCACGTCTGTTACAAATCGCACCAAATTAAACAACACAAAATTTGATACCCTTTTCAATGACTGCAAATAATCATCCTAATAACTACAAAATAATCACCCTAATAACTACTGGGAATTCCCTTTGTAACTCTGCTTGACTAAATCTGTTACTATTCATATTTACACTGAACATGGACAAAATTTACAATTTATCATTCTTCCCCAAACAATGTTACATGCAAAATGTGTGCAAATGCACTACTCTCTTTACACAATTTTCGCAATTTTTGAATGAATAACAATGAATATGGCTATTTACAATTTCTTTGTAGGCAATAGTGCTTCAAAATGGCTAGAAGTTTAAATTGACTTATTTTGCCTCCCATGTCCAGTTCTCCCCAGGCCGACATGAACTTGACCTACTTGTGCGGTGCTCGCGCACCGTTTCCTTGCTGGATTTTGACGTTTGTCCTTAGCATGCGCTGGCCTCTGCGTCGACGCCGCTCGCTTCCCCAGGTTCTGCGATGTGGGATTCGCCTCGGCCGACTGCTTGATGCCTTCTCGCGTCCTCTTCCGGTCTTGATCTCCCGGATACGTCCTCTTCTGTCCTCGTCTTCGTCGTCTTCGCCCGGCGCCTTTTACTACGCCCACGTGCGAATGTTTCTTTCACACCCCACAGGATAAGTCGTGCGAATTCAGTTCGTACAGGTCTCTCGCTCACTGCTGACTGCACTGTACTAGACCTCAGCGCGTACCACTTACCTAATAAAGGGTAAATTCACTCTCCGCGTCGTTCACCAAGGAAGTACTTGCTTCCGGAAAACTGAAATTTCGCGGACGGCTGACTAGGCGTATATTCGACGTCCAACACTCCTATCTAATAAACGTAGTGTTTGCTGCGGCTGACAATATCTAAGGCGAAGTGATGCTGGCGCTGCGAACGGGAACGAAAGAAATTGACTGCTCGTGGGTTCGCGTATTTATCTACGCGCCCTCCGATGGAGGGGTAACGCGGCGATCAGCTCTCCGGCTGATTCATGTCATTTTCCTGCGCTCTCGAGCGGGCATTGCAGGTAAGTCTCCTTGGCGGTGGGCACACCCTTTTTAAACTGCGCCGCGCTCGCTCACCCGTTCTGCCACAGGCGTTCTCACGACGTGTGGGCATGTGGGACGAACCTACTCACACACGTTCGTCACAGTACATTATGTGCGTACCTTCCATCTACCTACCCTACTCCTACAAATGCAATCCTACTTGGTTCCTTGTTGCTTGTTGACCAGAACGAAGTCAGGAATTTGGAGTTATCTGGCCGCGCCGGCCAGATATTACACGAAACTTTATTGAAACCGGACATTCTTTTGTCCGATTTACCAAGATTCTCTTCACCAGACAGACCGGTCTGTTCGGTCGAAAACAGGACATCTTGCTATCGCAAGGACGAGCCGATTTGCCTATGACAACGGGAGTTTCGCTTTCCTCTTTCATTTTGGCACACAGGAAAATCAGCCTAAATCTAACTATTTAATAAGTGAAAAATTGCGAGTATTTGTATTGGAGTTCGAAGATAACCATTTCAGGGTAGGCGGTACTGTTCTGTTTCTTAAACGTGCGAAATTAAAATAGAAGCTGTAAAGCGGCTTAATGTTTATTAACCCTGAAATACTGTAAAACATAAAAATTTGATGTAAATATGTAACGTCACGGAAAGTTGCATTTGGATGAACGTTCCATTATTGGGGATTCAGTCCTCACATCTCCAGATCAGCTCGCCAATAATGGCAGCGGAGTAGACCGTTCGTAAATCACTCTCCCGTTTACCAGTATTACTTGCGGAGGCGTGGCGATTACAATATGAGATGAAAGTGTAACTTCCTATAGCTAGAGAAGAGTTAAGCAGATTTGGCTGCATCATTTATTCGTAAGTGGTGTAGCCGATAACTGTTGACCCAATGTCTGCAGTTCAGGTGTATGAATTTAAGTTCAATGTAGCGCCTTGGAATTGTCAGTTCCATATTGCTAGAAATTAGTCGCAGCAGCCGCGACCAAGACTCCTAGAATGAAATTATCTCCATGCTGGGAACGCATGTCTCTGTGGCGGGCGCGACATTTTCCCCCATGCGCCCTTGTACGTCCTGTGTTGTAAACTAAAGTTTCTGGATGAATGGAATGTTCTCATCAGAACCTCCTGGCGGAATTGGAAAGATACCGTCGATGAAATTCGTTAAAAAAGTTATTAAGGAAACGACGGAACTAACGGCGCCTATTTCTCCCCCTCTCGAAATGACTGAAAACTTCCTTTTCCACACTACCTTTCACAAGAACAGAACGATTCTGGTTTATAACCTGCGTCCGTTCGAGTTAGTGAGCTCTTCAAGCTGCTGCAGAACGAAGTGACAAAAGCAAGTGAATTCTTTACATCCAGATACCCCACCCCCCGTGGCGACGTCCTATGCATCGTTGTTGGCGTTAATGACGTAGGGCCTTCGCCCCTCTCCTTATCTTCGAAGTTGGACTCGCATGTATAGCTTTCTAATTTATTACATTGTTGATGTACTACTCTTGTTACATAAATAACTATCAGTAACAATAGTTAATGATCAGGTAATGAATATACAGTAATTAGTGTAGATAAAATCTCTATTTGCTATTGATATATTTCATTTGCTTCGCAGTTATTTTAAAGATTGCCTTCTATTTGTAGGTCCTTATGCTGCATTTTTCTTACCATTATACTATTTTAACTTGATTGCATTGTCTAGATAAATGATTTTACTTTTAAAAATGATAATTTTCAAATACTTTAGTTTTACATAGCACGAATATGTAAATGAATTAAATAACCAAAATACCTTTAAAAATGTGTAATATTTTTATCCACCATATAATATTGCCCATCACCAAGAATAAAAAAATTATGATTTATTGTTGTAGAATGAATTGGATTCCTTAGCATCACGCCTGGAACAAGGTTTCCTGAACGATAGTGAAACAGTTGATCCACGTACTGCCAATGTTACAATATGCACCGATGATGAACAAATAGAGACTGACAGTGAACCTATTTACCTGGAGTCTGCAAGGCATCAAGCAAACGGTAAGTTCATATCTGTTTTCTCTGTAGAGGACAACTAATGTTATCATTGGTCACACTTTAAAAACTTTAATTCTGGTAAAGTGTGTTCATTGTTTCAAAACAAATCTCTACCTTCTTGGAATTCCGGAATTTATTTATACATCTGAAAAAGAAACAATTTTGAACAATATTTTTGGAGAATCGTGAGAGTATGTCAATTTATTACTGTGCCAGCGTTCGCCATTTATTTCGCATTCTTCAGGGCTATAAAATACACAACGTATGTACAAAGTAGTAACAGAATTAACAGATTATGACAAAATTACCGATTACACGAGAAAATAGCATCAAAACAATTTCCCCAGAGCAAAGACAATTGTTGGTTAATGTTGAATTAAAAGTCCCGCTCACAGCTGCACACAGCCGTGTTCCCTTACAGTTGATCAAGTCAGGGACATCGCCAGCCATTACACCATGGGCTCGTGGCGCAAAGTTCTTTTCTCCGACGAGTCGCTATTCATTTTGCAGAATGATTTTGTGTGCACGCTGGTCTGGTGAGAACAGGTTAGCAATCCGCATAACGTCATGGAATAGGATCGCTGGTCTGGTAGCGATAGTGGTCTAATGGTGCCTGCGGGTATGCGCTCAATGGACTACCCGTCCTCAAGAGCGGTATTGTTACTGCTCGGCGGAAACTAGACGAGGTGTTTCACCGCCTCGTGTACGGCTGTTTCGGAATGCAGTGAGGTCACTCACTCATTTCCGATGATAGCGCAGGGTGCCTACGAGTCAACGTGAACGACGTTCTGCCGGCGAGCAATGCTTGGATTGCACAGCGCGGTCACGAACCTCAAAGAACATTATTGGAGGGCCTGTCCCCTCCCCTCAAGCCTAGAGTTTTCGTTGGTAACTTCCTTTGATTAATTAGATCGCTGGTGAGGTAGATACCTTTTTATTATGATAAATAAATAAAGATGTCTGGTATCAATACTTCTTTTATTTGGCAAAATTGATATAAATATTTGTTAGAATTATGTAATCATTTAAAAATGTTGTTTAGGATTTTATATACATTACAAAAAATGCAATATAACAAATGTTTATTGTTGAACAAAAATCTATAATGGCTCCCTCCCAAATGATCGGCCGGATCCGACCCTGAAGAACATATATGGAATGTAGTATGACGGTGACTTGCAGCCAGACACCTACGATTACGATTGCAGGCCTCAGTACTCCCTTACAATTTGAAGGTATTCAATTTGAACTCAACTCTCTTCTTACAAGCATGCCACGTCGTTGTGGGGCTCTTATATTTGTCAGGGATATAATCGTCATCTTGAAAAGTCATTCCATGCAAAAAAAAATTCATATTACAACTCCTTCAAACTTCAAATTAAAAAATGCGCCATAATTGTGGGGCGTCTTCCTACAACTAAAATATTAAAGATAAGAGATATTTTCCTTAATGCAATTTTTTCCAAGTACTGTGAATGATGGATAATGGTGACATTTTGGTTTTTCAGTTTTTATTGGGCTGTATTCTGTTTTATTTTTTTTTTTAATGTTTCAAACCTTTTCTTGCTACGTTTCTTAGTTTTAGAGATTTTTTTTCGATGCGAGTGTCAATGTCTAGCCCTAAATGAGTGAACTTGAGATGCATTTTCTCGAATTGGTAATTTTCATCACATTCGTGCATGTCAAACATCATAAATCATAAACTATTAAAGAAAACGATTAGAAGCCGGATTTTTAGGGGCAAGTGTTGTCTAATTTAGGTGCAAAAAGTATTGAAAATAGGTGCAAAAAATATTAAAAATAGGTGCAGAAAAATAAAAAAAATAATTCAAATATAAATACATGATTGTATATCATAACATGACAAATGCACTTGAAATGTGAGGGGAAATAGGTATGTTATATGCAAACTATATTTTTTTTAAACAGGTTCACATCATCAGTGAGATCACTGTTCTCTGTACCATAAAATATAAATTGTATTGAATTACACCCCAACGTTAAAGAAATCGAAATTTAAATCCTTGACGTTCAGAAAGTTTGAATAGGCAAAAAAATATCTTTCAACATCCTCTGACACCAGTCGGAGCAATCCTAACACCTTTGGGGAAATCCTTTCTTGTAATGGCAAATCATCAGCGCTTGTAACCTTTAAAATATATTTTTGGAATTTTGACCAAACTTTGTTCCAGTTTCTGAAGAGCAAATTCTTCTATACTCTTCTTTGCTTCTGTGAAAATCCGCCACAGGTCAACGGCAGTTGCCCCTCTGAAGTGGTTGATAGATACGCAAAGGAATTTGGAGGAGTGAACACACAAGAATTCTTTCCAAAACAGTATTTGGCAAAAGTTTTTTCAGCTTTTCCAATGCAACAGATCGATGTTTGTCAATGTTACTAACAAAATATATTATTAGTTTTTGACGTATTCAACATCAAATACACGTTCCCAAGCGAGTCATGATGGGGTGAAGTAGTCAACAGAGATCGATAGTGCTTTTTTGTGGACGAGAACATTTGAAGGACATTTAGTAAGCACTGTCTTCGCAAACAATATTAATTCATTAGCGACGTTTTATTCTTTAAGTAGCATTTGTGGTATTGTATGCAATCCAATTCAACAACTCTATGCTGTGCGATGGGCTATAGGATTTGTTTGAAAGATGTCCTCGACTTATTGATGGGGTAAATGCTATTGGGCTCTTAGTATGCATTGGTTGAGAAAACGTCAGATTTGCTATCAGAAATGCAAATGTTAGCCTTAAAAGAGTAAATACAAAATACATCAGAACTTGATGGAGTTCGTTTTGAAGCATCTTTGGCAATGTCATGATATCCGGTAAGAAAAAAAGGCATCTCTGTCACGAACTGGTAATGAACGAGTTTTGATGAATTAAAGAACCGTAATTTTAAAGATAATTATGTTTCTGTTTTTAAAAAACTTTAAAACATAGTTAATATTTTTAGATACTTACCTACTCAACTTTAATTATTATAATCCAGCACAGCGTTTCGATGAAGTTGTTCGTCATCTTCAGGCATAAATATTGTTAATTTTTCAAAAACACACATTATTCATAACTAGTGCTAATCAACGACAATGGGCCTCTTTTGCATTTGTTTTTCTGAATTTAAAAATAGAGGCAGGTTACTTTGGAGAAAAGTGTGCCAAAATAAAATGCAAGACTTGCACAAATATTGTTTGAATTAACTTTAAACATTATATACTGTGTCCATTTAATGAGCACATTAAAAAAGTAAGATTTTGTTTGCAAAGATTGGGAAATAGGGGCATGGGGTCTATTTAGGTGCAAGGCAAGTTTCTGAAAAGCTGTCTAGTGGGTTACATAACATGTTAGAAGTAAAAAACGAAAGTTCCCAAATCATCACCTAAAAATCCGATCTTTAAAATAATACAAACCTTTTTGCAGCATGGAAACCATGATTTGCTCTAATGAATGAACATGAATCCATCACTATAAGTTTGTTGTATGTATTGAAATGTCCAGAAAAAATTTATAAACATTTATTTTTTCTCAAATAATAAAATCCTGACTTAGTGTTCACCTTTCACCCAGTACCGTTACCATTCTAGTTAATTCACTAGAATTAATTTTAAAAAAGAATTATCAAAGTATATCAATTTGTTGAGTTATGTTTGAAGTAAAAACGTACATTTTTGCCATTTATTAATAAATAAATAGAAAAAAATAATTATTTGATCTCTAAAAGATAAATGAAATGAACAAGGGAAAACCATGTAGACCTAAAATTCTACATTTTTTTCAGGTAGATGGCTACTTTAAAGACCGATCTTTAAATAAATTCTGTTCAACTTTTCGAAAATATGACTGGTTTCTGTGTAATTTTTTTCAGAAATAAAGTCTGTTTGTTGTTGTTTTTTTAAACAGCTCCAATTTTTATCTTTAAATTTTCTCAATTTTGAGAATAAATTGCCTGTATATACACACACACAAAATTACACGGAAACAACTCATTTTTGAAAAGTTGAACTTGAACTTAGCAGATGCCGCTGTAACAACGAAGGTTTACTGCCCCTTTCAACTGAAGCGAGATTTTAATGATAATTTTTGTTCCTTTTCAGATATCAAAAAAATTTAATAACTTCTAGAACATATTGTTACAGATTTTCATAATATTAAAAAGGTCTTTCGAGTAATTGCGTTTTAAAAGAGTTTTATTGTTATATGACAAGAATAGCACAATATAAAATTGATATTTAACAAATAATTTTACTATGCATGTTATATATACTCAAACAAATTGTTAGAATTTAGAAACATTTATAAGAGTGTAAATAATAAGAGTAGTCTCAGGTTTTAAGAGTGCATCACGGACAACAATATCCCATAATATTTTCACGTTTGAAGGAGTAATGACATAAAATCTACTTTTTTGCATGGAATGACCCTGTAATTAATTGTCACTGGCGTATCTAGAAATTCTGGCTCCCATGGCAAGCATAGAATTTGTCCCTGTCAGGATACTTCAAATAAGGGTTCCTATTATTTGTTTTACTGAGTATGCGTTAGTGTAAATCAGATTCTGATTATTTTCAAAATGTTTCATAAACATTTTAACTGGGAAAAATTAAACAGTTTTAATTTTTATTTCATCTTAGGAATTGATATAATGAGAAAATGACAATTTAAGTTTCTTAATAACAGGCATACAAAGAAAAGTTGTCAGACCCAAAGACTTGACACGTGTTTCTTTGTTGGTACGTCTACGCGCTGAAGCCATAATTGCGCCAACCAACCTCCGTTTTTTTTTAATCGAAAAAGAAAAAAACCTGAAATGTACAATCTACAATTTCACGGTATTTTTTCGCAATTAAAAAAAAAAATCTGGCACGATTCTGGTTTCAGATTCGGATTCAGCGCATCGATATACATAGCATAGTATGTTACAAGTGTTGTGTTTTTTTTTTTTTTTTTTTTTTGGTATGCCTGTGTAATTATTTACTTTCGTTGTAAGAAAAATG